GGCCACAAAAAAAGTGTGGTGGTGATGTCATAGTCTTACATAGACCAACTATTTTCTAATTCGTCATGGTAGGTGAACTTGAACAACCAACAACTTTTGAAGCTATCTAAGTGTAGCTTATATGGAAGAGTATGTCATTATCCAGCGGCCTGCACTAGTCGCTGGGGCATTTTGGCACCTTTTCAAGCAGAGGCTGCTAAATAAACTAGTTAAATTGACTTGGGCATGTCTTGGTCTTTGTATTTTTGAAACCCTATTTACATTATCTTGGACATATTTTAGAGGTAGACTAACCAATTAATGATTTGAGTTTAATCGTAACAAATTTGAATAGAAAATAAATAGAGCCGTTAGACTCATCATATAAATAAGCCGACACGAATCCGACAAAACATGTATGAACTTACTAAATATTTGCTTATACATGACACGAACCCAACAGAATACAGTCTAATTATATATAATTATAGATATGTTTGCTATAAATTGAATATAATAGAAATAGGATATATATCCAAAATGATACAAACTACTGTCAATAAGCACCATAGAATTAGGAATCAAGAATTCTAGGCGTCTGTATCATTGCCGTGTAACGACATGACATAGCATAGGTAAATGGACCAAGGAACTCCTATGAAAATCACGCGGGTATTTGTAGAGTTATTTACTAAACTGTCATTCTTTTTAAATAATTTTATCAAAATACAGTAGTTTTGAACTTATTTTTTAAATTACAAAAATTTTTATAAGCGGAGTCAACAAATTCGTTTTTAATGAAAAAAGGGAGTTGGTAAATCTGATTTCATTACTTTTCCATGTAAACAATAAAAGAAAAGGTGAATGGCTATTTCACTTTTAAGATAAAAAACGGACTAAATAAATTTATTTTTTCAATAAAAGCGTAATTATTGAATTCGTTTTTCAATTAAAAGTGGAATCTCCGTCCACTTTTCTTGATCATNTTTTTCAATAAAAGCGTAATTATTGAATTCGTTTTTCAATTAAAAGTGGAATCTCCGTCCACTTTTCTTGATCATAAAAAACAGAATTACGGGACCTATTTTCTAAAACAAGTAGATTTGACATGTCCGCTCTTATTAGAAAATGGATTCAGTAATCCTGTTTTCAAAACCATCCTTTAAGTAAAAAATTAATGATTTGAGTTTAATCGTAACAAATTTGAATAGTAAATATATAGAGCTGTTAGATTAATCATACGAATGAGTCGACACAAATCCGACAAAACATATATTGTGCGGGCTCACAATAAATAAATAAAAACAGCTCTCTTTCTTGGTGAACTCGTGTTTACCTTGAAAGTCGACGATCCGGTGGCAAAGGAATTGCCAAAAGTGGCCTAAGGAGTGGTGATGAATTGATTTTCCAACAGTTCGATCGATTCCGGTGTGCAGGAGCATTTTTCGGCATATCCTGACACTTAAATGAGGGGTTAGAAAGGGTGCCGGAGTGTTTCTGACGTATTCCCTCCGACGATCAAATCAATTCTTTGACAAAAGGGAAGCAAAAAAACACTGTTTGATGCTCTTGAAAGGTGATTTTGCATTGAGATGACGTGTCATGNAGTTCTTTGACAAAAAGGAAGCAAAAAAACACTGTTTGATGCTCTTGAAAGGTGATTTTGCATTGAGATGACGTGTCATGTGAAGAATGCTCCCCGGACAAAATGTCGAGGACTTCGAGGTATCTTTAGTGCCGAGATGACATGTCACGTGAAGAGTGCTCCGCGAATAAGATGTCGAGGACTCCGCGAAAAACATGTTGTAGACTCCGAGGACAACATGTCATGGACTCCGAAGTACCTTTAGTGCCGAGATGACGTGTCACGTGGAGAGTGCTCCGCGGACAACATGTCGTAGACTTCGAGATACCTTTAATGCCGAGATGACGTGTCATGTGGAGAGTGCTTCGTGGACAAGATGTTGAATGCTCCGCAGATAACATGTCATGGACTCTGAAGTATTTTTAGTGGCGAGGACACGTGTTACTCGTAAGAAGCTTCGAGGTGCCGAGGACACGTGTCGTCCAAAGAATACTCCGCAGTCAATATGTGAGGACACGTGTCTTGTCCCCCTTGATCACAAAAAATGTCCCATCAATGACGCCCAGCCCTTGATCTTCATATTAAGTGGAAGACGTGACAGATGAAGATGAAAGGGCTTGAATGTTCTATCCCTTTGTGTAGCCGTTTTTTTGCCGATGCTCTAGTGTTGCTGACATTGTTCCTATCCCTTAGAGCACCACTTCCTTCTGTTAGTGTCGATGAGTTTTTTGTCAACATTGAAGGAAACATTGNTTGCCGATGCTCTAGTGTTGCTAATATTGTTCCTATCCCTTAGAGCACCAATTCCTTCTGTTAGTGTCGATGAGTTTTTTGTCAACATTGAAGGAAACATTGGGAGCAACGTCACTGGTCCTCCATAGAACTGCTTTTTCACTTTCCTTGTAACATAGTTTCTGTTTCTGCAGCTGGAGAGACGCAAAGTCCTCTTTTTTTGTAATGCAAGGACGCTTTTCTTTTACCAAGTGTTTGCTCCCTTCTTTTTCTCCTTTTTAGTCTTTGGGGCTAAGTCTTTTCCTGTGGATTTCGACTCCTTGGGTCCTTTGGGGGCAATGTCCTTGGGGCCATGTCATATCCAGAAGGCTTTGGTCATTTTCTCTTTGGAAACAAGAGTCTTTCTTGAAAACTTTGCCTTTGGGGCTATGCCCTTTCCAGAAGGTTTCGCTCTTTTTGGTTTTTTGGAAGCAAGAATCTTTCTTGAAAACTTGGCCTCCGGGATCATGCCCCCTTCCAAGAGGCTATGCACCTTNCTAGAAGGTTTCGCTCTTTTTGTTTTTTTGGAAGCAAGAATCTTTCTTGAAAACTTGGCCTCCGGGATCATGCCCCCTTCCAGGAGGCTATGCACCTTTGTCTCTTTGAAGGCAAGAATCTTCCTAGAAGACTTGACCTCCAGGGTCATGCCNCCAGAAGGTTTCGCTCTTTTTGGTTTTTTGGAAGCAAGAATCTTTCTTGAAAACTTGGCCTCCGGGATCATGCCCCCTTCCAAGAGGCTATGCACCTTTGTCTCTTTGAAGGCAAGAATCTTCCTAGAAGACTTGACCTCCAGGGTCATGCCCTTTCCAAGAGGTTGTACTCCTTTGTCTCTTTGAAAGCAAGAATCTTTCTTGAAGATTTGGGCTCTTGAGTCATGCCCCTTCTAGGAGGTTGTGCTCCTTTGTCTATTTGGAGACAAGAATCTTTCTTGAAAACTTGAACTTTNCCTTTGTCTCTTTGAAAGCAAGAATCTTTCTTAAAGATTTGGGCTCTTGAGTCATGCCTCTTCTAGGAGGTTGTGCTCCTTTGTCTATTTGGAGACAAGAATCTTTCTTGAAAACTTGAACTTTGGGGTCATGCCCCTTTCAGGAGGTTGTGCTCCTTTGTCTCTTTGGAGGCAAAAATTTTTCTTGAAAACTTGGCCTCTAGGGTGAAGCCCCTTTCCAGGAGGCTGTGCTCATTTGTCTCTTTGGAGGTAAGAATCTTTCTTGAAGACTTGGCCTCCAAGGTCATGCCCCTTCAAGGAGGTTGTGCTCCTTTTCTCTTTAGAGGCAAGAATCTTACTTTAAGACTTGGCCTCTAGGATCATGCCCCTTCCATGAGGCTGTGCCCCTTTTTTCTTTGGAGGCAAGAATTTTTCTTGAAGACTTGGTCTTCAGGGCCATGCCCCTTCCAAGAGGTTGTGCTCCTTTTGTCTTTTTGGAGGCAAGAATCTCCCTTGAAGACTTTGTCTCCGGGACCATGCCCCTTGCAGGAGGTTGTGTTCCTTTTGTCATTTTGGAGGCAAGAATCTTCTTTGAAGACTTTGTCTCCAGAACCATGCCCTTTCCAGGATAGCACACTTAGTGAAAATAAGTCTTTTCTTTCTCAAAAATAATACTTCTTCAAATTCGTTACATTCCAAGGCCGAAGTGCAGTATTTTCTTCGAAATCCTCTAACTTGTATGACCTGGAGCCTCTCATTGATGTGACTTTATATGATTTGTGATGAATTTCGCACAATAGATGTGATGNTCTAACTTGTATGACCTGGAGCCTCTCATTGATGTGACTTTATATGATTTGCGATGAATTTCGCACAATAGATGTGATGGGAACAGATTTCTCCCCTAATGAACTCGTGTTCGTCGAGATAGTGATGGATTCAGCACCAAGAAATGAGTTGAGAGGACCAAAGGGGGCCTAAGGAGTGGTGATGAATTGCTCTTGGGTTATCTAATCGATCCTGGGGGGTGGCTAGTCATCCCTAGCACACAGAAAACAAGTTAGAAGAGCGATACAATGCTTTCTTTATCCCCTCTCTCAAAGAACTGACTTAATCGTCGGAAAGGATACACCAAAAAAATACTCTGACGTCCTTTTAACTTGTTTTATGTGTGCCAAGGATGACCAATCACCCCTCAGGATCGATCGAATAACCCCAAAAGCAATTCATCACCACTTTTTAGGCTCCCTTTGACCCTCTTAACTCGTTCTTTACTTCCGAATCCATCATCATCTCGACGAACACGAGTTCACCAAAAGAAAGATCCGTTCCCATCATATTTGTTGTGCGAAATTCATCACGCACATGTATGAACTTACTAAATATTTGCTTATACGTAACACAAATTCAACACGATACAATCTAACTATATATAACTATGATTTGTTTGCTATAAATTGAATATAATTTAACTTTATATAATTAAAATAGGATACATATCCAACATGATATAAACTAGCTACTGTGAACAAGCACCATAATATTAGGAATCAAGAATTCTGGGTGTCCTTATCACTGCCGTATAACGACATGGAATAGAATCGGTGCCTACGCAACAAAGAAGTTAACTAGTACGGGATACTAAAGATAACGATATAACTCGATTGCCGAATTCGTGGGGACTTATTAATCAAGTGTCTGGTTGTTTGGAAATGCCTACACGGGTATCACGTAGCGAATATGCCACTGATACTTCCATGTTCTTTGCTATATTGCCTACGCAACAAAGAAGTGGTCCATACCTGTGATTGTCACAAGGTTCTTTGCTGTAGTTTTGCTAGTGAAAAATTTCACATTCCAAGAAAAAAACTACTTGGTAAATTAAAAACTAGGTAAATTATGCTAATAGTCCCTAAGATTTACCACTTGTCACTTATTACTGTTTAAAAAAGAGATTAAAAGTACCACTGCCGGTCACATTTTGATATTCAGGAACATATTTTATTGTATTTTGCTGGAAAAATAAAAGATAAAGACTAATATAAATAAGGGTGGAGCTATTTTCACTCTACAAATCTTCATTTTTACCCTATAAAACTATTAAGTTCACTTTATTTATACTTATCTCACTAGTAATTAAGTTTACATCATTCTTTACCCACCCTATTAATAGCTAAATTTATCTCAATCTTTATTTTTAGTGTTTATTTCTATACCTCATCGCACATGGTTTATACAAAATATATTCAACTAAATTATTTACTAAAACTGAACAAAACAATTATGCATAGACTATGTGATTCGAGGAAAGAGACTTGATAATATTTTTCTTTTCATTTTTGAGAAAATTAATTTCGCCTACAACGAAGATTCTAAGAGATTTCTTTCTAGATATTGAGAAATTGCATGTGAAGAAGATTCTTTTCTTTACGAATTCCTTCGACCGACAATTAAGAAAGTAAGAAAGAGAAGGGTGGAGAGAAATCGGAGTACTATTTCGACGATGAGATCGGAGAAGATAGATATCAAATGGTGACAGTTGAAACAATTTGCATAGAAGAAATCCAGAGTGAAATCTAGCTGAGTATATTTTGTGTATAGATTGTGTAAAATGGGTATAGAAAAAAACTGTAAAGGTAAACATTGAGATATATTTTGTTATTAATGAGATGGGTAGGTTTAGTTAATATTAGGATGTGTATAAAAAGGGTGTGAACTTATAGTTTTATTATATATAATTTAATAAAATAAAAATAGAGATTTGTGAGGTAAAAATATAAACCATCTCATTTTCTCTGGCAGAATACGCACCCCTAATTGCAGACCCCCCGCGCCACACCCCCGCAGTGAGCCTTGGAACTCTGTCGCCTCCACTTTCACCTGCCACGACCTCCGTCCCCTAAAAATCATTAACCACCCCCTCCTCATACAAAGCAACAAGCACCAATTCTTATGCATGCAGCCCCACTTTCTCTCATGTTTGTTTGGTACGTTTCTATTGTTTGGTATCGGAGGACAGAAAAGGCATGAAAATTTAATTTACCATTACACCCTTACTAATAAGAATTATTTTTTCCTACTGCAAGTAGACTTTTCAAGATTTGAAAATATTGAAAATCCCTCCAATTTACTATAAAATTAATAAATGTGTACAAAAATATATATTTTTTCATCCACTTTCTTGTGGAATCAATTAAATAAATGGTTTAAAATATAATGTTTGTGTGTTTTGAGAAATTTATCGAAATTGATTAGTAAGGGATACAATAAAAAATTGTCTAATATATAAGAGTGATGATTATCGATATGGTATGATAATATGATACGAATTCGACATGTAATTTTGATTGATTTAACACCAAAACATGTTACACAATTTTTTAAATTAATCAGGTCGTAATCAATTAATTGGATCATATTATATTGATTTTTTATTGTATTAATTTTTTTGGTATGATGGATGAAAAAATTGAAGGAAAAATTTTTTATTATCTAGTAAAAGAAATAAAAAGAATGGAATGAAAAAATATATAAACTNCAATTAATTGGATCATATTATATTGATTTTTTATTGTATTAATTTTTTTGGTATGATGGATGAAAAAATTGAAGGAAAATTTTTTTATTATCTAGTAAAAGAAATAAAAAGAATGGAATGAAAAAATATATAAACTCAATCTAATATCATACCCTTTAATATAAATTATACTTTTTTTAATTATAAATTCTAAATTTGCACTTGACAGAGAGTCAAAGAAAGGATAAAATATGAAGTCTAAAATAAAAACTATTTGTCACAAAAAGAATTGACTTTGGCAGTGTTTGGGATGGCTTGTTAAATTCAAAAGTACTTTTTGAATAATTATTTTTTAAAAATCACTTTATTAAAAAATACTATTCTTCCAAAAGAATTGTTTGGATGCTCATTAAAAAAGGTACTTAAACAAAAATATTTTACAAAAAATTGTGTTTGGATAGTAAGTTTAAAAAGTATTTATTTGTATCACAATTACAAACATATAAAAAAGATAAAAAGATAAAGATAAAAGGAAAAAAAAAAAAGCAAAAAAGAAAAATGACAAGTCCTTATTCTGATTACTGTAGCAGATACAACATATTGTGGACTGTCAGATCAACGGTCCCAGGAGCCCCATCAAGATCAACCGTTCAGGAAGCCTGAGAAAGCTTAGAAGCTTCAAGATTTACGGCCTTCTTGAGAAAATTCTGAACATCGTCTTCAAGAGGCATCTGAATCAACGGCGAGCCCAATCCATCGGCGATCGCAAGGAAAATCTTGCTCATCTCGTTCCTGAACTCGTCGAGATCGACGGTCCTGCTCTAATCGCAGTCGAACTTCTCAAAAATCGAGTCGTAGAGCCAGCTCCTCTGGCGGCGTCGCAACGTCGACGCCGAAGTGTGTATTTGATACAGGGGGGTCGAGAGACACGGGGAGAAGTTAAGTGTTTTAATTAAAAAACGCTTATGGGAAGTAAAAGTTAATTTTTTTTATTTTTTCTTAATAGTTTATTTAAGTATTAAAATTATTTTTACTTATTAAAAAATGTTTTTAAAAAATTGATCCAAACACCACTTTTTTTAAAAAATATTTATGATAAGTCAAAACATCAAAAAAAATACTTTTTTTTAAGCTATCTCAGTTTCTAGAAAAATCTTGCTCGTGTAGAAATAGCACCCTTGTGAAGGGCATAAAAATAATTTAATTAGAATGGTGGAAGGAAAAAAAAATGGTGGGCTGAATGGAATCACTTTCCACCCACTTTCCCATTCCATTTGATTTTCCTTTGAAACCAAACAAAGAATACTCTTTCCTTTCTCTCCATTTTTCACCTTTTCTTTTTCATCCATCCACTTTTCATTCGTACCAAACAAAGCCTTAGAGAATAAAGAAATTGAATAAAATTGAAAAATATTAAAATCCCCTTAATAGCTACATGTGGCGAGCACATGGTATTTGATGAAGCAATTGAAATCCTAAATTTGTTTGATCAATGCAACTGAACATCCAGGTCTAGTTATGGATTAAATCTGTTAAGAGCAATTTGGGTTATTTGGAAAACGACTATTTTATATTTTGCTTGAGTTTGAGAAATGGAGATAGGGTATCAGAGAAGGGAATGGGTAGAGGTGTTTAAATTTTCGATTGACCATAATTTTCTATTCTATCCAACATTATCCTACTCTACTGAACAACTAGCCTAAAAAATTAGGTAGGAATGCGGAAAAATTTTTGATCTTTCGATTAAATCGAGTAAGAATGCAGAATACTCATCAATTGTCGCATTCCAACCAACAAAAAATATATTTAACTTTTTTATATTTTTTTTTAGGAATTATAAGAGTATTTGTGTGATATAATTTATATTATAACATTGTTATTGTTATTGATATTTGAGTTGCGAAAACATAGACTTATTTTTTTTTGTAGGTTACATGATTTGTGGTGAATTGGTTATCTATTGGAATAGTTATGATTTTAATGTGTTTCATATAATTTAAATTTAAAATAATTGTCATTGTATTTGTGTAACAATTATGATGAACTGATATTCTAGTTTTTTTATGTTTTATTATAATTGTTGTTGTAGTTATTTTTATATTTTAGTGTTATTGATTGTTAAATTGATTCATGTTATTTAATTGAATTGTTAAAATGATTTAAAAATTAATAGTTACAAAAGTGTTTACCCAACTTCCTATCCGATTAATCGGGTAGGAAGTCGAATAGGTATACACACTTGATCGGGGTAGAGTAGGCCAATAAAAAATTCTTTCACAAAGTATCGGGTAAGAAGACGAACGACTATATTTCATACTCATAGGATAGGGTGAACACCCCTAGGAATGGGTTATGTGGGGGGTATTAGAGTTAATAAAATCACAAAAAGGTAAAATGAAATTTGTCCTATTTTTTTTATCACTATCATTAATTCGCTTTTAAAGGCACAGTATAATGAGAATAGTTTTGAGAGAGATATTGGTGACTGTTGAATGAATCTATTTAAAGCCGTCAGATAAATTTATGAAAGTTCGTCCTGTTTTATAATATAAATTTAAGTTTCAACTATTGATTTTTAACATATCAGGTACAATAACAATTGTATCAAAAATATTTTTTGGTATCTTATATTTAATAAATAATTATTTATTAATAAATTAATTAATAATTTTTAACACATATTAAATTCTCTTAATTTACTATTTTTATTACTTTAATTTCTTTTTCATAAATAATACAAATTAAAAAGTAGTAATTACACGATACCCCTATGATTTTTTTCATTCTTGATGATTATGTTCCCTTATTGCAACCCGTTGGTGTTACGTCAACCCAAATAGGTTACCCACGTAAAACACATGACTCTTTCGTTCTTATCGATGGCAATACCTTCTGGCCAGAAGATTCTTCTTTGGGCCCACACACAAACTCACATTCTAATGATTGATTGCACCACATAGTGCAATGATTCTTGATGGCCTACGTCACTCTGATGACATATGATTGCAATGTCACCCCTTACCATAATGAAAATCCGAGTTCGATTAAGGACGAAAATATTACAACTTATTTGATTTGTGTTTATAAAATAATTTTTTATTCTCAAATTTTTTAGAATAAGGAAAATATAATGGGATTTAACATACTTTAAATTCACAGACAAATACACATAATCGAAAAACAAACTAAGAACATAAAGCAATAAGAAACAAGAAAGAATAAGACACAGATTTTACGTGATTTGACAGTTTGTCTACGTCCACGAAAATACAGGAATTTTACTATTGAGAGAGATGAATACAGAGAGCGGCTGTACAAAACACCATAAACCCTAATCACAAAAGCAACGGGTTTTATATGTCCTGCGCACTGGGATACAAAATAGGGCCAAAAAATTTTCCTATTGGCCCAAGCCTCAGAAAATTTCTCATTAAAAAATCACGCAACATTATTTCGGGTTGAGTCATCATCCGAATTAATAGACAAACCAGACTCCACAAAGGCCCAATAAGATACAGTTAGGTTAATTTTTTAAAAATTCTGAGAATTGAAATGTAATTTTAGACAATAATAAAATAGTGTTTTCAATGTTTAAGACACAATAAAAACACAAGAAACAACATCATCTTCAAATTAATGAGATCTCTCCTTCAGGTTTCGTTGGAGACAAAAAATGGTGACAGTAACTTCTTCTCCATTGATCTCACTGAGCCATCTCTCTCCCTCTTTCATAATTTTCTTTCTCTTCTTCCTTCTCTCCCTCTAATCTAATTTCAGATATGCGTATATTCACAGATTTGAACACAAATCTATGTGCCGTTGTGTGGGTGTGTGTCCGTTAGTGAGTGTATTTACACAAATTGCGAACACCTGTAACCTTCTCTCTATCCCACGCAACTTATTTCTTCTCTTTCTCTCTGCAATAAATCTGTGTATACATACAGATCTTATATTCATATCTATATATATACACAAATCTATGTGTGTGTAGATTTTGTGTGGGTGTGTGGGTGCGATGGTTGTGTGTGTGTATGTTTGTTGTATGTGTGGGTGTGTTTGTTGTGTGTGTGTGTATGTATATTTTTCTTGTGTGAAAAGATAATGGAGAGAGAGGGAGAAAAAGAGACGGCTCTAGACATGACTACCTGATTGGAGAGAAAAGGATTTTGTGGTAATAAGTGTTTTTTTGGTAAGTCAAAAATTAATTTTGTGAATCATTATCCAAACAAATTTTACTATTTCATGTTCTTTAAAATTATTTTTAAAACTATATAACCAAACCAGTTTTGTAATATAAAAAATAAAAAAATCATTTCTTAAAACTTTTTCTAAAAATTATTTTTGAATACTATATTTTTAGAGACGCAAACCAAACAGACTCCTATTTTTCCGGTATATACCACTTTTGTGTTTTATCCAATAAAAATGTGTTAATGTGTAAAAATCTTGTTTTATTAATTTTTTCTTACCAAATCATCCACCCAGCATAACAAAAAAATGAAAATTCGAATATGAGTTCAATTGAAATATTTTAATTCGGGGATTAGAGTACACATAGATTAAATTTTGGATTCATCTCGTGTTGAAATCAATTTTCGAGCAACCACTTTATCCTATTGGAGAATAGAGATGACTTTTTGATATTGGTTTCGGGGGATTTGAGCCCACATTATGAGAAAAAAAAGTGAGTTTCTTGGAAGCCAACCAAACCATTCAGACTTGGTCTATGACATTCAAATTGAAATGACTTGCTATAATGTTGAGCTTTGGTGGATTATAAATAGTTATAGTAGGGTTATAGCAACATCATATTTCATAGGATAGAAGGAAAAAAAGATTGGATCTTACGAAAAAGTTCGGACAACCCATTGGATAGTTTAAATAAAAAGCTTGTGTATTTCTTATCTGGAGAATCGAAAATTAATCAATGCACATGATTTGGAAAGTATATTTTTAGAAAGGAAAAACTTGATTGTTGAGGAAAACTTAAATTCACACCAAAAAGGATTAAAACTTTAAAGAGCGCATAGGGGGTAAAAGAAAAATTCTCGTATACATTAAAGCTCGACATAATTCCAAAATTTGTGATGCGTTGTAACGTTGAACTCAACTATGAGGACGTGAACCGTCTTTCGGAAAATTGCAACCTAATTCGAACGAGAGTGAACTATTACAAATTCGAATTGACTATTCTCATTCATACTTCATCAATTTGTGTAATGTTAAATTTGTTCGATTTATACTCGACTTATTTACAATCACGTAATTGCATTCACATCGAGNTTCGCGCCCAATGATGAAAATTGCCCCTATAAAAGGGGGTTCCTCTCCGGTTTCCTTCGTTTTGCCATTTCAAACTTTCCCCAGAGTACGTCTTCTTGAATCTTCGCCGGAGTTCTTGTTTCTTCTGCCATCGTCGACTGCCCTTTCTCTCAAAATCTCAGAGCCAGCAGACCCATTGCTGATTCCTGAACTTTCTGGAGGGAGTTGTTTTAAGGTTTTGCTAGAAAAAACTCCATTTTGACGTTCGGGTGAGTTTTAGAACCCTCTTTCTTCTCGTCCTCCTAGCCTTTTTGTTTTCCGATTGACTGGAGGTGTCATCCGGTCGACACGTCGTGATTTAAACCCTCGGAAAACTTCCTCAGGGGTTTTCAAGAACAAATACCCTTTTCTTCCTTTTTT